AACAACCATAATCGATAAACCTTAATATCCAGTAAAACCAATTTTAACAGATGTTTATTTTAAAATCGCTATTCATACTGTATATTAATTTTCTTCTACGTTCGCAACAATTATATTATAATTTTTATATTCATAGATTGATTTTTCGAAATTTTACTAATATAATAATTTCTTATTACAGTATTAATAAAGTTCCAAAATATTTTTTATAATACGCATAAAATACACATATATGTAGAAGGTCCGAATACTTTCGTAAACTACTGTATCTTTATTCAGTTATAGTCTAATTTCGTTCGTGCACTATAGTCAGAAGAATAATTTTGAAAAAATTCTAATAATAAGATATGTAAAATTCAGCTTCAAATTTTAATATAAAAACACTGTTACAAACGATAGTAAACACTATGTGATTTGAATGAAATAATAGAGAGATTTGTAATTACATTTTAAAAACGAAAACGGAGATAGTTACTTTTGATGAAAAACTTCACAATTACTTCTATTTAAGACAAAAATGCAAGAAAGTCTTTGAATTTTATTCTATAAATAATTCATACATACATTTGAAAATTAAAATTTGAAAAAAGTTGTTTCACGTACTATAAACATTATAGAAAACATTGTATTTTATATTATCTTTTTATATTATGTATTCATTCCTTGAAATTTTACACTTTAAAATTTCCATTTAAAAATCTATTCGTGAAATTTAAATAATTACAAAATTTTTATATTAAAATAACAATATTCTGTATATAAATCTATAATAATTAATAACGTCAATTACAATTTATTATAATTTAAATTACAAGTGTTAAAGTAAATAGATTTATACAATTATATTTTTGGTCCAAATCGAAATCATTATTAATCTTTACAAGAATCCCCGTGGCAATTTTAAGCAATCATAAAAAAGGAAATCTAAAATTCGTCATATTGGCGAGTTTGATTGCTAATGGTTGGTCTAATGCTAAACGAATATTCTTGTAACGTAACTAGTAATAATTCGTGTAGCGGCGATAAACATATTGAATAAACATAGAAAAGGAGTTGAGCTTCTTTATAGGATAGAATTAGTATAATATTATCAGCAAAATTTCACAAATTACTAGTCTTAAGCTATATATGGATACATATAAATCTTCTTGCATAACAAGCAATGAGCTTGATAATAAAATAAGAAAAACAAGTAAAGTAACATTCACAAATTACTGCTGACTCAGCTGATTGTTCCACACGGCGCAAAATTGTAAAGTTGGAAAAATTCGTACAACAAAAATTTACAGTCGACAATCTGTCACTTGTGAATTTGATGTAAATCGCTATGCAAAACAGTTTCAGTATTCATTTATGTTCTTCAGTTTATAACTTACCATATTGAAAGCTAAAATTATTTTTATATAATTCATGTTATAAGATTACGCATTCGAAAGGTGTGTACACTGTACATTCCCGCTCAGAAGTTTAAAGCATCAATCTCGTTTAAATATGATACTTTATTACTTTTTATTGTAACGCTTCTTTAAATACGATGCATTCGTAATTTTTTAGTAAAAAATAACGAGCAGTAATATAATATATGTACAATATATGTGTGTACATGACACAATTTATATAAATTTATTTATATGTATATATATTTATTTATAATTTATTTATACATACGTATATTTTTATAATGTTTTATGTAAATATGTAACATGAAGGCGACCGAATGTTATATACAAGCGGGAAAAAATGATTCCTCGTGAAAAAATAAGAAAAAAATAAAATTTTTCCGTATGGGGATTCTGGCAAAACTCGACTTTGAAAATTTGTCAAGTTTGACAAACTTTACTTAAATTTCGCTAATTTTAGATGTGACAAAAAAAAAAAATAATTAAGAAGAGGTTACAAGTGCAAAAATAAACAAGAAATATGTGGAATAAAATTTTTTCATTTTCAAAAAAATAGAATTCTCCTATGGATTTTTTTCATAAAAGCTCTTTAAGATATTAAGATGTTTCCATTTAAATGCTTTTATGTAATATAATATAATATGATATAATATAACATAATATAATATAATACAACATAATAATATTAAAATAGTAACAAGCAGTAAAATAATAAGCAATCACTTCATAACAGACAAAAATTTCTTCGGAGCTTCGATTTTCAATTTATCATTCACTGGAGAAATCACTACTAGTTATTCGACTGCACTAGTTGAAACAGGGGCAAACAGTTCCTTCCATCGATTTTAAAGTTTCGCGGAATTTTGTAGGATTTAAAAAACCGAAAACGACAGGAGAAGTCGAGATAGGAGTGACAGAGATGTGGAAAAAGGAGATATGGGCTGAAAACCCGAGGATTAGTTTTGACGCTGAAGATTTAAAGAGGATCCACGAAATCCGTAGATTTAAGAAGTGCGTGTTTCCACGTCTTCCCATCTCTCTTCTTTCCTCTTGCCTTTCGTCATTCGAAATTTGAAGAGCAAATATGTACTTTTCCGCTCCCTGTATTTCGACGATCACCGTTTCCTTACCCCAAGTCACGATCATGGGAATTCCACTGGGATATAACTTTCAAAATCGTTTGAAACACGTCCCCGTAAAATATTTCCATTCTAAATTTTCTAAAGAGCTGGCCATAATAATGTGCGTAAGTATTATAATTAGTAGACTGGTAGGTAATGTAATTATAAAAAACTTTATAAACAGAATTAAAGAAATGATCTCTAAATAAAAATTTATTTCGTGTGCTAAATATTATTTTATAATTTTATATAAAATATAATATAATATAATATAGTATAATTTATATAACATATAATACTATACATATATAGTACTATACTATAATATAATACCATATATCATATAAATTGCTACGTGAAATATATATTACATTATATTTATATTTATGCTATATAGATTATACTATATTATATATTATAGTATAGTACATATAGTACTATATAAAAAATATATAAAAGTCCACGATTATTTAGTATATGAAATAAAATAAAATTCATATAAATTGCTATGTGAAATATATATTACATTATATTTATATTTATGCTATATAGAGTATACTATATTATATATTATAGTATAGTACATATAGTACTATATAAAAAATATATAAAAGTCCACAATTATTTAGTATATGAAATAAAATAAAATTCATATAAATTGCTATGTGAAATATATATTACATTATATTTATATTTATGCTATATAGATTATACTATATTATATATTATAGTATAGTACATATAGTACTTTATATTTACAGCAAATTTTATGTTGTACATAATGCTCATGATATGAAAAAATATTTGAAAAGTGCAATGCTTTTTATAATATCTGGTTGCACATTCAAAAAAAAAATTCCCACAAAAGAAGTCCATAGGATTTAAATCAGTTATTTTAACCGAAACAAAACATTGTTCATTACTTTGAAAATATTAATTTTTCAATTCATGTTTAGTAGAATTTTTCTTTGCCATTTGGCAATTATTAACTATTCTTTCTATTACTCCGTATGAAATATCTAAAGTTGGGCATTTATTGTAATATTTACTATATAAATTTTTCAAGTAGCTATTTAGAACATATTCAGACATATTCAAGTAGCTATTTAAGAAATGCGTTGCAAACACTTATCGAAGTGTTAATGATCGATACATCTCAAAGTCACGCGCGTACTCTGGTTTTCGTTCGCTCCGACAAACGGACGCGTGCAAATTGTTTCCACTGCATTATCGAGGATCAAGGAAATTCCGCCGATAGTCTATCTCGTTTACGAGCTTTAACGACCCCTCCGCGCGACCTCCATCGTCTACGCACACGAGCACTTCGTCATTCTCGATGGAAACTTGCTCTACGAACATGGAATCCAAGTTCTTTAACTTCTAACGTTACGATCGTTAACGGTTTCGCTGTTCTTCGAACAGTATTGGCAGATTATTTTTATTGTTCTAAAAGACAGAGGATTAACCGGACAATTACGATAGCTATTATATGCTAAACAAATGATACAATCAATCAGAACAAATGTGTATGTGTAAGTTAAAATATATGTACATATGTAAAAAGTGTAGCCGAATGATATGTCAAGCGAGCAGATGATTCCTTATGGAAAAATAAAAAGAAATACAGAATAAAATTTTCTGATTTGAAGCTTCGTTTTGAGAAAATTTGTCGTACTTGAATTCAATTGATACATTGATTTTAAACGATTATCCTACAAAAGTGTAGAATACAATTTTCTTATTTAAACCATCATTTTCAAGAAAATTGACTTTGAATGAAATTGCCTCAATACATGTACGTACTTGATACATTTTCAAACTCAACTTTCTTGAAAACAAAGCCTCAAATCAAAAAATTTCTATATTTCTTTACAGTTATAGATTATATTATTCTTATATAGTTATAGACTATATTCTATTGTCTATACTATTCAATGTTAAATAAGTCATTTAAAAATATTATAAAACAAAAATAAAAAAATATCCAATTATTTCTGTTCAAAAATTTAGAGCATGTAAAGATTTCAAATAAAATACTCTCAAGTAAGTTTCTCAAGCAAATAAATATTTTGCTCATAATATTATTATTTATAATACTGAAATTGTTATTAATTACCTGTGTTTAAAAATATCTAAAATTGAATTACATGTATAATTAAAAAGTTATAATTATAACTTATTTCTTAGAATCAAACGAAAATTATTTTATTTTATTCAAAATGTAAATGATGAATAAAACTTTTGAACAAAAGTGTATACATTTCATTTCGTTATAATTATTTAATTTGACTAATTGTCAACCAGAGAAAAAGATTTATCAAAAATCATGACGACGTACATAATTTACTTAATTTGACTTACGTCAGTTATTGTACGATAATGAATAATGAAAATATTGATTATCAAAAGTCATTGCGAAGCAATTTACTTGATTTGACTTAATCATTGACAATGGAAAAGAAAAGTAAAGAAAACTCACCAGTGCTGGGAGTAGATTTGCTGAGATCGAATCCCTCCTGTTTGGGGCTTGTATTTGCTTCTTGCTTGGGGTGTTGATTGTGCGCAACAAACGGTGTCTGGGGCGTACTTAGGGGTGTCTGCGATTGATGAGGATGCACTGGCGGAAGCTGAGTAGTATTCTGTGGCTGAGACTGTTGGGACTGGTGAGACTGAGGACTCCTCGGTAACGAGGACACACTGCTTGGCCTCGAAGGTGGAGAGGCCTTGTGTGTCAATGCCAAAGCTTGGCTCTGCAAATGAAAATATTCAATTTTCTAATTAACTATTTATTTGTGTCCGACCGTTTTCAAGATTTCACGTACATATGTATATACGAATCGTATCCTTCCCCTCCATTTCTTCATTAACAGATAAAGTGACTTGGTTCTTTTATAATATGAAAATAACTAACGAAGTGGATATAAAAATGATATGTAAAATAATAAATAAAAGAAAAGGATAAATAAAATAAAGTAAATATATCAAAATAATAACTAACAATAAATTGAATGTCGTATAAGATATAACATTATGTAATATATTTAATTTTATATTAATGTATAACTTGATATAACTATATATATTAATGTGTAACTTGAATTTGCAAAGGTAGATGATTAAAATAAACAAAAATAAGCAAAAATCAGTGTTGCTCATATATGAATAGTATTACGAGTATGTGCTTTAAGGAAATATATAAATATATGATTATAATGCATTGTTATAAATATATTGTTAAAATATACACATTGTTCGTATAAAGTCATTAAGCTACAAATTTCTGATTAAGTATAATACAATAGAAAATCTTGTTAAAACTAAAATAAATTTTACAATTGAATACTCACAAATATGTATACTAATTGTTGCTAATATTACAATTGCAAATGGAGATAGCATAGCAATGTAGATAGTAAAGTGGCATATCAATATTTCAGAATAATCCAAGAATACAATCTAAATTTATGTGCTGCTAAATTATTATTAACGTGATTTTGGAAAAAATATTATCAAATTGAAAATACTTAAATTGGAAATGGTTCAGAAAGATGTTGTTTAATTATTATATGTATTTAAAAATCGTTAATTACTATCATTTACTGCTGTTCTGTCAAATAAAATCTTTTGTATCATTCATTTATTTTACAATTCTCAGATGCACGGTAAAACAAGATGCACGTATGATAATCATGCAAAATAATACAAATCCGGAATTACATATATGATATATTATATGCAGAATCTACTATGTACCTTACTTTTAAAAATAACGTGTGTAACTGGATTGCAATTATTACGAATTACGATCATTATGTTTGTACAAATTGTTTTTAAAAATGTTAAATTATCAATTTAAATTATCAGTCTATTCCTATACTTAAAAATATGCTAACAATTAGATGAAATAAAGTATGGGAATATTTTATTATTTTTTTTACTTTTACGTATATAAAAGTTCATACACAAGTTCAATAATGGGTCAATTTATTGTTCAAATATAATTTTTCTTAAAATATTTAATAGTTAATAGTGGGAGCAACACATTTTTCAAATGTGTAGAATTAGAAAATATCAATTAAAATCCAAGATGTGGTGTATATTGAAGAAAGTAAGTTTTTAACTGTCTCTACCAACTATATGTTATAATTATGTAAAATTACATGTAAACATAATCCCAACCCTGTTACGAATTTTATATTTTAACATTAATGAATTAATGAATAAAATCAATTCTTAATTTGGTAGAAATTTCACAAATTAAGAAAGATAATACGTATTTGGAGATTGGAACAATTTTTCGTAAAATATACGAATGAAAATTAATGTTTCTTATTGTATTATAAACTTTCTATTGCATTATTAATTTCTCTAAATACAAGTTTCATATTTTAGTCGTCGTTATTTTCAGTATTAATCTTGCTTTTAAAAATTATTTATCACATGTCAAATGACTATTATTTATTAATTAACTTTTTAAACTTAATATAAGACTTAAACAAGAAATCACATATTAATAAAGAATTTTCCATCAAATTTCGTCCAAACTTATAACTTCGATCGGTCCAAAAAAAAGAGTGGATTGAGATTATTGATAATTAGTAGTTTCCGTGCGAATGAAGCGATAAATGTAAACGACGGCGAAGAATGCTCAGCGTGCGCGTAAAAATGGCTAAAGCAAACGCAGGGAAAGCTGTGAATTAATCGTGCGGTTTAATAATAGACATAAGGAGAGCAACGTAATAATTTGATCATTAATTCTGATGAGACGACACTCCGTGACACAGTCGAATCCGCGACGATTCGGTCGTATCGAATGAGCCGGATGATCTAAGCATTGTCGTCGATGAAATCTGAACACGTGCTCAATTTCAACAACGTCCAGCTAAGGCATAAGCGCGGACTTAGATTTATGTATGAGTGAACTGAACTTAACACTAACGGCTAAGCCGTTCACGGTGTCAACGAGGGTCAAGTGGGCCCAGAATGCGACAATCCTACACTACGGCCGAAGTGCGAAATGCACCGCGTGGCAGTTTTCGTTGTCTGAAAACTGGATCGCCGATGACGCTTCCGAGGAACTGCATGATCGAATCGACCAAGAAATTTAACCCCTTCGTACTCAATCCTCATTATCTTTATCCATGTAACCATGCTGCTTCTTCTCAATTTTTTTATTTACCACTATCCTACGTGCTATTTGAAATTGTCGGAGAATTGCTACGAGAATTACTGAATTCACAAATAAACACATGTGTTTCATTTCTCTTAATTTTTACAAATTGATACAATTCTATACGAACAAGTTTAACATATGTAACTTCGAATTCGAATTAATTTTAGTTACTTGTTAATTTTAACATCTTATCTGAAAACAGTAGAAGTATGTTAAACAGATTGATTGCATCAAGATGATAGATTAAAGATAAGATACACAGGGCTCGCAATTTGTAAAAAAATATATAAATGTAATAAATATATCTAAGTTTTATAATTTGCAAACATGATCAGTCAATAATATTTTTCGGAAAATAAGAAATAAATGATTTTGACAATCATCCTGAAAAAAAGCTTCCTAAAAAATTTACTAATTGGCAAACTTATTTTCTATTTGTAAAAATGTCAATAATCTTCCTTTTTATAACAAACTTTTACACAAACTTCTTCTTGCTCTCTAAAATTCGTAATGAATAAATAAATCTAAACTTCATGCATATGAATGAATTTGATATTCATATCGATGTTATAAATAAAGTTAATTCACTGAAAAACATTGATTTGCATCATATATTTAGTATAAGTTATAGTATATTTAATGTTATTTATATAGCGTAAATTAGTATTAATTTGTTCTTTTATGCAACCTTTATGACGCAGAATTATTATTTCAATAATTTTGTATGTAATAAGAATATAAATATAAAAATTTGTTAGGTTTTGAATTATCATAAATATTGATTCAATTGTTTTTATTAATTTTTTTATTTTTAATATAAAATATAAATTTTCTTCTTATTTACAAAAAATATTAATTTTATTCTAATTTACAAAAAATAATTATTCACTAAACTTCGTTAATTTCATGTTGTTTTCAACTACCTATTAAACTAAAAAAATAGAAAACAGAGAATAAATGAATAAAGAAATAAAACTGAAGTACCTATCAAAAATAAAGTGCTATTAAATAAAATCTAAATTGTAGAATACTATATCAAATAAGATTTAAACAGGTAATAAGCGAATAAAGAGATATCCATTAACATAAGTACCTATTAAAAATAAAAAAAGACTCATATTATTTTACGACTAAGTAATTAAACAGTTTTAAAAGTTAATAAATACGTGTTAATATATTTTTTGAATAATTTGAATACATATTTTATATGAAACATCTTTTTAATAAGCCTATAACGATAACCTATTCCGATATAACCGTTACTGCTATTAGCAAATTAATAGATTCAATATTAGATTAGATTGGATTGTCGAAACTTTACGAAAATCTAAGATAAATGATATTGACTCAGTAAGTTTTAATCGTGTCACTTCTGGCATAATCTTATTTTCTTTCGCGCAATTCCATTTAGTTAAATTCTACATGTACTTGAAAATGATAAATCATAATGTATACTCTATAGACTGGAATTTCCCTCAACTTTCAAGAATAAGCAAATTACAAATTTCCTCTCTTACTTTTTTTGTATATATATATATATATATATTTTTTAATTTATATTTATATACATATATAAATATGTATATATTTTTATATATATATATTATTTATCACGAAGATGATAGAAAAGATAAAGTAGGTTCTTTTTGTCACAGAATTGTCCTATTATGTGTAAAGTATAGAACCTATTATAATATATTTTCATACACGATGATTGCATGAACGTAATATATTTTTATACACGATGATTGCATGAACTGATTATAAATAATAAGGGAAAAAAGACCGATATCAACTATTTAATTTTTCGAAAATAATTATTCACGAAAATTAATTATTGTATATTTTAGTAAATATTATTTTATTATAAGAAAAAGCAACTAAAGAGCATTTTTTATTAGTTATTTATGTTATTTAAAATCTTTTTAATAATGATATCCATTAAGCAGTAGTTTATTAAAATTTCATAAATACTTCAATATATGTAGAAAATATATGATGGAAAAATATTAAGTGAAACGTTGAAATTTCTTAACTAGTTTAGTTACCTTAGTTTAGTTTTTTTTTTTTTTTTTGTATATTTAAAACTATGATAAATGACACAAATATATCTTTTGCGAGCGAACGAAAAGTATAAATTAAATTTTTGTCAAAATAATATTACACGAAACATTTTCAAAATAATAATGCATATTCTAAAATATGCAACGAAACATATTTCTTAATTTTTATGTCTAAAATTGAACATCCAATTTTACGTTACACCATAAAATTAAGTATAAATGCCCGCTCGGGGAATAAAAACTATAAAACTATCTTAATATTTGTTTATAATAACTTTTATTGTTGTAACAATATTAATTTTGTTTGTACTTTTACTATGTCTTTATTGTTCTTAATCTATTCTTTCTTTTCTTTGTCTTATTTATTTTATCTAGCTATCTACCTATCTAAATTTATATTTTCCGCAATTTTTCTTTCTTCGTACCATAACATCAGATTTAATACTGAGCAAACAATAACCAAGTAATTAACCGAGGGACACAGCATTCGGGAACACTTTAAACATTCGTATTA